GTGAGTATCAGTTCTTAATGCTTTGTCTTGGTTTTGTTGCGTAAGATATCACCGATGAGACAATATGGTTAGCCTCCCAACTTTGCGTTAGACATAACCTCTATTGTGGGTGATACCTGACGATATTAGACGAAAGTTTGAGTTGTGTATAACATGATTAGAAGAATGCATGTGTTATCAATTGATGAGATCTAATCCCAACAAGAATCCGTTTATATTTCAGTCTTTATTTTATATTTTTTGTCTTATATTTTCTATTTTATTTATGGTTCCTTGAACTTTTTAACCAAAACTTATGCACAACAAGCTTAGAAATATAGAGATCGTTGAACGACGTTCTTTTCCTTGCACCGATCCATGTGGAGACGATATAAATCCCGAAGGGAATTCCTTTAAAACTAAAAATTTGTTTCTTGCCGCTTTACTGTAGTTTAAACAAAATGACACCGTTGCTGGGGATTGATATTTAGATATTGAAGTGCGTTGCAATAGTTTCTATGTTTTTTTTAGCTTTTTACAGTTGTCTATATTGTATATATTCTTGTTTTCTTTTATGTTTTCTCAAGTGTTGGTAGGAATAAATGATGAGAACTTCTTCTAGTTACGGAATCTCTAAGGTCCAAAGTTATTTCATAGGTGGTTGAGTTCATTATAAATGGTGGAAAGGTTGTTTTGGAAGTTTTATTGGCTTTGGATAGAGCGATTTTTTGATTTTGAAGGATTTGCTGAAGTGTGAAGGCAAGATCATCGGAATCTGGATGTGGTGATGAGCTCATGATGGAAAATCAATGAGATCAGTGTGATTTCAATATACTCTTAGATATGTTTTGAATGATGTCAAAACTAGGTAGCTTATTTCTTTGTGTATGTTGGATCCTATGGTCTTTTTCAAGATGTGCATCATCATTATAGGGCATCTAAAATTAAATTCAATAAGCCATAACATGCTAAAAATATGATTTTTCATGAAAAAGTAGTCAATGAGTTGATACATACAAAGATGAGTCGATACATACTAAGTTGATTTTTAAAGGAAATGATTATGCCTTGTATGTATCGATACAAAGGTATCTTGAGTCAATACAAGCTACAAATGAGTTGAATCATCCACGGTTGAAGTCGACTTAATCTAAAATCATTTTTTAACGAAACAACTCTGCCTTCTATGAGTCGATACATAGCACGATTGAGCCAATTCATAGCGCAAATGAGTCGACTCATCCTATCTTGGAGTCGACTCATACTGAAGCAATTTTTAATGCAGATTTATATTCCCTTGATATGTTGACTCATTGGGGATTCGTATTGACTCATTAGCCTTATGTATTGACTTATTTGAATTTAGAGCCAATACATCCTATTTTGAGCAAATACATGTATTGACAGTAGTTTCAAAACTTGAAATTTTGGCCAAAAATAATCACTTTTGTTTGTTATTTCTTTTACACACACATGCATATAAATATGCATTCATGCATCATTTCAAAAATATTGAAACCTGAAAGATATAAATAATTCTCATCATCTACAACCTTTCTTTGTATACATTCAACGACTACACATAATTAATTTTGTTTTTTGTTATCAAGACAAGATTGATAAGGTCCAATTTAGGCTGGTGTAAACAAATTAAGTTAAGTTTTTCTTTGGGGGTTTCATAGATAAAACCTTTAGGGTTTTTACTTCAAGATCAACGATTGATTTGGGGTTTTTCGCATAAGTATTTGTAGCTTGGATTCAGCCGAGTGAAAGCTTTAAAGAACGAGGGTTCTTACAAAGGAGTAGTGGTAACCGAAGGATCAATTGAAATACTTGGGGCAAGATTTCACAATTCGGATTCAAGCGAGTGAAAGCTTTAAAGACTGGAGGTTTGATCAAAGGAGTAGCGGTAACCAGAGGATCAAATTTGAGGTCTTATGTGACATGATCTTGTTAAGATCAAGGGAAGAGAAGAATCTAGGATCAACATCAAACATATCGTTTAGGGGTTTGAATTTCTACTACTTCTATTGTAAACACATAGTGCAAAGGTTAAGTACAATATCTGAATTCGATTTCGAATTGAGGGCAGACGTATCAATAGTGAGGTCAATTGGGAAACTGCCTAAACAAATCTTGGTTCTCTCTCTCTCTCTCTCTCTCTCTCTCTCTCTCTCTCTCTCTCTCTCTCTCCGACTCACTCTCACTCTCTTTACATTTTGATAACACTTAGTGTGTATTTTGAAGTGCTGAAAATTCAGGTTGAGTTTAAGTGTGTTAAACTGTTTTGTGAAACTATTGCAATCTAAACCATTGCAATTGTTTTGATACATATTCAACTCAAAGAGAACTAAGGTTGGTGCATTGTACACCAAGTATTTGATATTTTGATTGCACGCTAAGTGTTCGATTAAATTCCTTTGTCAAGTTTAATTTTACATTTCATTGGAAATCATTTATCCTTGTGTGTTATATTCAGACATATTATATATAACTTGTTGGTTCTCCATACACATATCCAATTCTACCAATAACGGTTCGGATAGACGAGAGTCGATCCGGATTCGCTTCCGCTTGACATATAAAAATATTTTTCAAAACAAAACTTTAGTAAGAAAAATTTTATTTGGCGATCTATTGAACCCCCTTCTAGATCGTTGCCCTCGTCTAATAATCACCAAATGTTACGTTCACAAATCACAACTGTAAAAAAAGAAAGTTAAGCAAAGTTCTACAACTAACTTTTCTCAATATTCAATTCTAATCTTATTCCTTCATTGGAGATGTACATATATAGCCAAAATGGGTTACAACGGATCCGTAATTCTATATATCTATCCTCAAGTAGTTTATGATTGTGAAACCCACACCTAACCATCATCTTCTAACCGCTACCATTTGGTGCGGATCTCAACCTAAAAGGACATTTCTCTTTCATACTATAAATGCCCTCTATGGATTTACTGCTTTCAAATGTATTCTTGCTTTTATAATTGTCTTCCCCCTCAGAATTCATAATCAATTTATATTTCCTACCTCGCTGGCCATTTGCAATATCAGAACGAACAGTCACAACTATAATACCATATTGTTTGCCAATATTCTGTGTCCATGCTAATATTTCAGATCGGGACTCAAATATCTTTCATTTACATCACGTAAAAACTATACTATCAATATTATATAAGAGTGAGAAAATATTTAATTTAAACTTGTTACCTAGAAAACATACTTTGTCTATGGTGAAGAACTGCGTGCAATCGCTACACAAATCTGTAGATAATCTTGTCAGCTCCGGACCACACAAATAAAGTATTTTTTCTAATTTCTGCTCTATTACTGGAAATTTCAAATATATTCAAAATTTTCGGTATACCAAAAATTTGCAAACTTTCGATAGTTTTTGGTTTTTTTCGAAAATTTTGACAATTTTCAGTATTGAATATTGTTATTTTTTTTTAATTTCTCATGATTTATATCGGATTTTTGCAAATTTCCCGTATAAATGCGTAAATTTTCAAAAATACGCAAAATAGCGTATTAGAAATTTTAAAATAACTTCAATTTCGTCTTTGTATGCTCAAAAAGTGAAAATTTTAAAGAAAAAAATTTGATTAGTAAATATTAACAAAGATATTTAAAAATATTAAAATTTTGAAGGATGTCAAGTATAATATGAAAAATGGGAAGTTAAATTCTCCTCATTTTTGAACCACAAAGTCCTTTAGCCAGTTGAGCCCCACGCTGTTCCTTTTGGGCCTAACTTGAGGTATCACTTCTTCATTACCTCCATCTTCATACTTGATTGAGATGATCATAGTCTTATAATATTGACACTATTACATATATAATATTATTTGTGTTTTGATTATCCATCTATTATTAAAACAACTAATAATATCATAATCAAAATTAATATTTTTAATTGTTTATTCCAAATGTGCAAGGTGTTAAATAAAAAAAATTAAAATTTTTAAGAGATTGATTGTTATGCACTATCAGTGTAAAAAGTTTTACACAGTCAATACATCACCATCATCCGTTAATATTATTTTTTAAATACTTAAAATAGAAGTCAAACATTTTAAATCTGATTAACTGACAGTGTAAAAAATCTTTACACTTTATACCGTCAGTGTATGTCAATTAAATTCAATTTTTAAATATTTATTTAAATTTTTTAACACATATTATGTGTCATACGAGTGTCTTAAAAAGTCAAAATAAATAAAAATATCATATTTTTTTTACACATGATCGATTTTCTTTTATATATATATATATATATATATATATATATATATATATATATATATATATATATATATATATATATATATATATATATATATATATATATATATATATATATATATATATATATATATATATATATATATATATATAATACAAATGTCATACAAATATTAGAGATTACGACACGCTTCTTTCAGCAAGTTTTTGAGTTTTATTGGAAATACTGAATACTCTATTTTAATTTTTTTACTCATCTCTTTATTCATTTTAATATGCAAAAATCTTACTAACTTTGAAAATTTCAACTTATTTAAAAGAAAATAAAGGCAATATCGTCAACATTTTCCAGCTACGGAAGCTTCGTACTTTATTCATTTGCTTACATTTCATTCATGCATAGTTTGCTGTCACTATCAAACCCAAATCCGCGTTCCATAACCAACTTGCCTCACATTGCTCCAAAAAACCATTATTTTATATTCAAACGCAGGCCATTATTTTTTCCGATCAATAGTATATTTCCTCAATTATATTATAATTGACACATTTGACAATTTCATACAAGAAATATAATATTTTCTAGAACGGTTAACAATTGTAATATTATTATTTTTGGTAGATATTAAATACTAGGTAAATTGTAATAGGTATCAAATCAAAATAGATCTACTATGAATAGTATAGCTAAAATGGACAAGAAAAAACTATATAAAGGGTGATGCTATGTTTCATAATAGCATAAGCAAAACTCACTTTGAGAAAACATGGTTTCTCAAATGGCCTTTACTACTCTCACTATTGCCTTAACATTACTTTCTCTCACTTTGCCATCTCAAGCAAACAACTACATCTATTCATCTCCCCCACCACCACCTAAACCTTACTACTACCACTCTCCACCACCACCAGTGCACTCACCTCCTCCACCTTATCACTATAGTTCACCACCACCACCTGTGCACTCACCTCCTCCACCTTATCACTATAATTCACCACCACCACCCAAAAAGTCATACAAATATTCTTCTCCTCCACCACCGGTATACAAATATAAGTCACCACCTCCGCCGGTGTATAAATACAAGTCACCACCACCTCCGATTAAGAAACCATATAAATATTCATCTCCACCACCACCCGTTTATAAATACAAGTCACCTCCTCCACCAGTATACAAGTATAAATCTCCTCCACCACCAACTTACAAATACAAATCACCTCCCCCACCTGCATACAAATACCAATCTCCACCACCACCACCTAAGAAATCATACAAATACCCATCACCACCACCACCTGTCTACAAATCTCCCCCTCCACCATACAAGTATTCATCTCCACCTCCTCCTCCTCCTTACAAGTACTCATCACCACCTCCACCGGTCTATAAGTATAACTCACCTCCTCCTCCTTACAAGCACATATCTCCTCCAACACCTGGAAAGCCATTTAAGTTTCCACCTCCACCAACACCAGTTTACAAATACAAGTCTCCTCCTCCACCTGTCTACTCGCCACCACCCATTTACAAGTATAAATCTCCTCCTCCGCCAGTTTACTCACCACCCCCACCACACTATGTCTACTCTTCTCCTCCTCCACCGGTCTATTCCCCTCCTCCACCTCATTACATCTATGCATCACCTCCTCCTCCTTACCACTACTAGATAATGGCTTACTCCATAGTATCCATGGTATGCTTCTGACTAAATATTATCTACATAAAACACTTATCAATAAAATTCTTAATCTTTAAACAGAAACATGTTTCTTTTATTAATACTGGCCTCACTTTAATTTTACTTTATTCTTATAATCTTAATGAAGGATATTGATATACTTATGTGTATATATTTTTATAGGATTTGAGGAATATATATTGGAAATAAAAAGAACATAGTGCAAAGCAAAACAACGGAAGGAAAGTTTCCACGCACTATGTCTCAAGAAAAGTCGCTATTCTTTTCTCATTTTTTATGTTATGAATTATTATTCTCATTATTGGAGTGCTTGGTTTTTGAATTTTAGACAATTGTAAGGCACTATGTGTGTAATATCATAAACGAATAAAGCTTTTTATTTTGCAACTTATTATTCTTTTGCAAGCATGGTTGATTCGCAGTACGAGTTTACAGAGACTAGAAGAAAAAATAATTGACTCACACTTACACTTACTTTTATGGTAGATTTTAAGAGACTCGATCAAACTGAGATAGTCTCGTACGAACTCGGAAAACTCTCAAATTTGAAACGAGTTTATGAGTTTGATGTAATTTTGAAGAGAAAAAAAATCCCAAAACATTTTGGACTTCACTTTTTTTAAATGAATTATGATATATATATATATATATATATATATATATATATATATATATATATATATATATATATATATATATATATATATATATATATATATATATATATATATATATATATATATATATATATATATATATATATATATATATATATATATATATATATATATATATATATATATATATATATATATATATATATATATATATATATATATATATATATATATATATATATATATATATATATATATATATATATTATCTATTAAAATACAAGTGATACAAGGAGTATGAAATTCGGGAATAAAATCACCAAAAAATACAAAAAAAAAAAAACATTTATAACAACACCAACCACCCGATGAGGGGATCAAAGACCACAAGAAAAAAAAAAGGAAAGATACAAAAAACATAATCTAGACAGAATTAAAGTTGTCTAATCTAAGGACACTAATAAACGCAACAAACCCACAAAAGACACAGCAAGAACACATCCAATGGAGGATGAAACCAATCACACTACTATTAGTTCAGAAATATGAAAGAGTTCTCAAGTTAGGCCGAGAAGGCACAAATTTTTTTTCATGAATCTACCAAGATACAATTTTCAACCTAGATGATGCTCATGTCTTCCACGTCTTTTGGTGTCATTGAAGTACTTGAAAAACTATATCATTTCTTATTTTTCAAATCGACCAAACCACGACATGTCAAATCATCCTCAACCGGCCCCTCTAGTTCTAGAGTTTCCACTCGAAGGAATAAACATATGGATAAGAGTCAAGATATCTATAGGCAAGACAACACATCACCCCAACCACCTAAAAATTCTATACCAAATCGTGGATGCAACCTTATAGGTCACAAAATGATGAGAGGAAAACTCAACGAGTAGCAAACAGAAGGGACAAGAAATATTTGTAGAGGTCAAATGAACTCCCCTGTTATGTAAATTCTCTCTGGTTGGGATACAATCCTGAAGAAACTGACAAGAGAAAACTATAACTTTATAGGGGGCAACTACACTAAACAAACCGAAGGACTAACTCTGTGGAAGAAATCTGTCGACCTGGGGGAATTGTTAGGCCAAAAGAGAAGAGTATTGATAATGCGAAAATGTATCGTATATTTTGACTCGATTCCCATGCAATTTAATTTCGTTTTACTTTTTTTCGTATTATTATTTCGTATTATGTTTGTGTTTTAGGTATTTGTTGAATAAGAGCGTCGCGAGAAAACCGAGAAAAGGAGCAGAAGAGCAGAATAAAGTGCAGAAAAATGGCTTTTCAGGTGCACGACGTTCGCCATGTACCTAAGCCACATCATTTAATGAATGGCCTAATGGCGTTCGCCATTATGTTGCAGTTCCAAAATTTCGTGGAGTCAGTTTTAACTCCCTCTGCCTACTCTCCCATTTCTCTACCAGACATATGAGACCTCTATATATAGTAGTTTTCTTGACATTTCAGAGCATCCAAGTTGTTTGAAAGCGCTGTCATTTTCGTTTTCTAGATTTACGCAGAAAATTACTTGTAAAAGTGACAATCGCTCACATATAGGGATTGTCACAAATTATGTATTCTGTTTATTCTGTACATCTTGGATCAACAACAAGCTTGTTGACATTAATCGAAAGTTTCATCGTTATTTCAAGTTCTGCTTTATTTCTATTTTACAAGTTTTTAATCGCTTTAAATTTAATTATTGTCATATTGCTTTCTTCTTCTTTATGTCATGCTGTCTCTAAATTTAAATATTGTGTTCATGTTGTTTTTATTAGAAATAATGTCTGGATAAACTTGTCTGAGTCTGGCGTATGAGGATCTTCGTTACCGACAGAACTCTATAGAAAATAATAGGCGCGCAATTGTGTTTTAAATTCTGTTTTGGTTTTAGTTTCTAAATTTCATGTTCTACTGTTTCGTCACGAGAGTGAGTAGCAAATTAAGGTTCGAGCCGATAGCGCGAGAGTGTGAGGATTGAACCGGATAGTAGACACTAGGCATTGACTCTAAAAATAACGAGGACGCTTTAGATATCGATTAAGATCTAATTGATTTTCAAAATACACTTTTTAATTAAAACGGGCGAGCTAGAGCAAAATCCTCTGGTTAAGAGATGTGACTCAGTCAATAGCGCGAGAGTGTAAGACGGTGTCTTTAAGTCGGTATTTTCTACGGAACGTAGTTTAACTATAATTAGTGCCTATAATTTACAGAGTCCCTGAGGAAACGAAATCCATATTTCGGCCTCTCCTTATTGTTATATTTTCTAAGTTTCATTTTAGTTTTCATTTATATTTTGTTTAAAAAAAGTGATCATTAGTCTTAACTTTACATCGCAGCAATAGATAACAGTAGGTTGACATTGGTCTCTGTGGGTTCGACAATCTTTTATATTACTTCGATACTTCCGTGCACTTGCGGACGCATCAAGTATGTAGAACACACATAATAAACACCATCACTCGACACACGCCACCTCCACACATCACTCTCGGAAGAAGGGGTAAAACCTCTAATCACAGACTGAAGATCTCTAAAAAGTGAAAACTTGTAATCAAAGAGAAAGGTCTCCGCCACCTGAGGTCCCAAACCCAACTCTCCCTCTCCCATCTAAGCTCCCCTATAGATTTAGAGGTCTATTCAGAAATAGGAAAAACTATAGGGAATCTAAAATGAAGGGAAGTATTTCTAACCCAAAGATCCTCCCAAAATGAGGTAAGGATGCCATAACTAACTTTCATGGAGAGGTTATCCCTGAACCAGTCAAAAGTGTCATCAGTTTTAGCCCTAAGAAGGGAAAACCCTTCCCACCAAAACGAGGCCGATCGGAGACAACCAACTCTCCCACCTATGATAGAAATTGAAGAGGCTATGCCATATATGGCTGTGAGGATATCTCGCCAAATACTAAAAGTCCTCGAAATCATCCACTCACTTGAACTAGGAAATTTTAGAGTCTCTTTTCACTCCTCCCTAAAGAAACATCCTCATGATCTTTACTATGTTCTTCCAAACCTTGTCAGACATCTTAAAAAAGAAAAGAAAAAGATATTGATGACATTAATAATAGAGTTAAGGAACAAAAATTGAAATAGCATGAAATTTGTCATTTTGATTAAATATTTGTTTATTTATTTAAAAAGTCACATTTCATGGATATGGGTAAAGAATTCTTTTGATATTTAAAAAAAAACCTACTTGAACAATGATTCAACATGTGAGCAAGTGATCATTTCTTATCCCTTTGAGATGAAAACTGGATATTTTTTCTTTTGAAAATATAACTCAAAACCTAGAAATAAAAACAATGATTATCCATTTGTTCTCATGATAAGAAATCTTTTATTATAAGAATAAGGTTATGATTCAGTTGGGGAGATGAAGATGTGAAAACTTGTATTTTCTAAGAAACGAGTCAGTAAAATTGGTGAATAATCATGTGGTAGAAAGAAAAAGTTCTTATCTCGACAAATGATAACGCGAAAATGTATCGTATATTTCGACCCGATTCACATACAATTTAGTGTCATTTTACTTGTTTTTCATTGTATTATGTCGTATTATGTTCGTGTTTTGGGTATTTGTCGAATAAGAGCGTCTGTGCGAGAAAATCGAGAAACAAGGAAGAAAATGAAGAAAACAAGTGTAGAATTTGGCATTTTCTAGTACACGACATTCTCCTTGAAGTCATGGCGGTCGCCATGAGCCTAATGGCGGCCACCATGGCCCTAACAACGGTCTCCGTGGGCATGCAATGCAGAATTTTCAAGAAATAGTTTTTGCTCAGTCCTCCCCCACTCTCCTATTTTTTCTCCCACGACTCCCACTCCTTTGGCATCAGTTTTTTAGCATCATAATAATATATATTACAAGTTTAACATAGAATTTTGCATCCAAGTTTGGTACAAGTTTGGGAAGTTTAGTTTTAAGCAAATATTCAGTATTAAAAAGTTGTAGTCTCTAACATCAAGAGACTACTGCACCATTAGTATTAGAGCTTAAGTTTCTACAATTGTAACTTGCTTGGATAAACAATCTTACCTTTAATTTAATTTCAATTTTTGTTTCAGGTTCATTTACTTTTATCTCAATTTATTTCCCTTACTTTATTTTTTGCCATTTATAATTCTGCTTTACAAGTTCTGCCATTGTTATTGTTCTAAGCTTTTATCACTTTACTTTATTTTATAAACATCGCTTTAAATCATTTTAAACTGCTTATCATGTCTTCGCTTAATTTAAAATTTCAAAATTGTTTATTTGTTTCTGCAACCATGTCTAGCTAAATATCTTTGAGTCTAGTATGTGAGGACCGTCGTTCCGACAGGACTCGTTAAT